AAAAGGGAGAAGGGGGGGGGGGGCATAACAATTGGCTTTGAAAGGCAATCATTTATTTGGGCAATGGTGTCAAAACTAACCAATCATTGCATCACTACATGTGACATCCCTAAACCAACCATTGTGGAAAATATTAATAAAATTACATGCCATAAAATTAACGTTGCAAATTGCAATAAATATAAAAAGCACTGAATATCTCTTCTATGAAACGTTTTCAATTTCTGAATTACAAATTATATTATTTAATGTATTTATTATACATTATTAATATTATTATTATCATCATCATCAGTATTTCTATCAAATATTTGGGGGTTTTCTTTATTTACTTATTTATTAGAAAATTAGTTTTAGATATTCTTAATATATAAAATTGTCTGCCAAATCAAAGTCAGTTAATCAACATGGAAGACATTTTGTCGTCATGTGACAAAAAGAAAAACAGAGAGGACTTTCAATTTAATTATTCAAAAAAAAATAAAACATAAAAAATATCAAATATATATTTACATTTATTTTTAATCGATGGTTATACTATATTTTAGAGTCAATTTGTGAAAAATTTTTAGAAAACTATTTTCTTCATTCATTCATTCATTTACCAATATTAAAAAAAAAAGATTGCATTTCTAAAAACAACAACAACAAAAAAACTTTAGGCCCATTGCGATTGTGTTGCGGGGTTTAGTGTATTTGATCCTCCACTTCCGACACTGAATGAATGAGAGCATGCATTAAACACGACATCCATCGAGTTCTCACAGATATTTAACGTTATCTTCACATGTACTCTACCTGTCGACTGCTATTGCGCTCATTGAGTAAATGCTGGCAAACACGGAGGTGACGGGGAAAAAGTTGTGAAATTTACAGTAGGCTTCTCCAAAATACCAGTCACCGTGCGTGGCATAAACAAAATTAATCAAAGTGTTGAAGGCGGCCATCGATGCGTCTGAAAACGCCAGGTTGAGCAGAAAGTAATTGGTGACGGTTCGCATCCGCTTGTGAGCCAGAATGATCCACATGACGATCAGATTCCCGCACACCGCGGTCGCCAGGATGGAGCTGTACGCCACAGACCAGAGCGCGACGCGCCACGGCGGCTGCACGAACTGGTTTGTAAAGTTCCCCGTTAGGTTAGATCCGTTCTGTGGCGGTGCCATGGCGAAAATGTCCAGAAATCTTCTGATGTAAAATATCTCAAGTGGAATGGAGACCGCGCACGATGCACACTGTTCCAAACGCGCGCGAGAGAGTCTTGTGCTCAAGCGGAAAACGGCAACATGTCACTTATAAATGGTCGGTCTGGTGAGAATCGATGCAAAATGGACCGACTGAAGAATTGTGTAGTCTTCTCTATCGATAAGTAAAGCGCTTCTAAGTTCTTAAATGCGTGTGATTGTCTCTTGACTCCTGTTGAACGCAGCCACGAGCGCAACACACTCTGCAGTGCCATGCACAGTGTGACAACTGGTCTAACTAGTGCCACTGGGAGAGAAAGTGATCGATTGATTCATGGTGTAGAGTTAAAGTACAGACAAGGACAAATTGGACTGAATCCTGAATCGAATCAATGGGTAAATACATTTATGAAACAGGTCAATCAATGCCCAGTAGTTCAGGAGAAGAAGAAAAAAATTTATAGTATTATAACATTTATTATTATAACCCCCAAAAAATTTTATAGTATTAAGTTAGATATATATTTAATCACATAAGGATCATGGAACATTTATGCATTAATGCAGCATTAAAGATCTCGACATGCTGTTGCCTCAACAAAAAGAGGCACCTGTGTTTCTTGGTGCGCACACATCATGGATAAATTGCATTAGACATGCAACAATTTATTAACCACATCATGCCATTGTCATATTGGTTGCTCATGGTGCTACAGTAAGAGACAATCATTTTCATACTTCTCACAATGAAAGAACCAAAACCAAAATTATATAATGTACACATTATATCAAACTAGACAGTTTAAACAAACGCACTGGTTAAGCTGTCAGTAATCATCTTCATGGCTGTCATTTTATAAATTAAGCTGAGTGAATGAAATTCAGTATGCAATTTCTTGTGCACATATTGTAACCTTGGGAGAAATGTAAAATACGGCTGGGGCAATGAGACTGGTTTACAGAGCAACTGCAGCTGAAAGTGATGCACATTTGATGGTTATCATCACAATATTTGAGGATTGTTATAAATGCAATGCATGTTCTCTCTGCACATAGCAGTGCAAAATGGCAAATTGTTATATAGTAAATTACAAACTTCAATACGATCACAAACAGCCTAAAATGCAAGGAAAAGCAATATAATAAGGCCTAACACTGGGAAAGTATATCATCCCCATGACAGTTCAAATGTGTTTAACAGTCTCTTAAATAAGATTGAGTGGCATTATTGCAATTGCAGGGGATTTGGAGCTTTTATTTTACTTAGCAGATGTTCATGCTAATGAACCAAATCTGGAGGAAATACATATTCATTATCCATAAGATTCCTGCTAACCATCACCTGCATTCATTTAATCAGTTTAGCTTATTATGCTGAATTAATAATTTTAGCATAAATACACACCTTAGACAAGATTTAATCAGTATTTAATTCCATGACACTGGAATTAATATATACAGTATATATATATATATATCG